TGCAGAAGGAAGCTTCTGTCCCAAGCTTCCTGGAAACTAGAATTTGATATATAGAAGGATATATTGGTTGTGCCTTCATTCCTCTATTTTTGATTATCTCCCCAAGGAGAATATTCTCTCCCACATTTTCTGATCTTTTCCATTCCCCAATTTTTTCTTCTTATTGATACCCACTGGTCTCCTCTTTGTTCTTTGAACTCAGGCCAACAGTAGCACCAAAGTTCTCTCCTGTTATTTGAAAGTAAAAGCATATGAATTCCTTGTGTTATTCCAGTCCTAACAGGTTCAGGATTGTATCAGTGAGACTATGCCCTTCATGGACATAGGTGATAATCCCTCTATGAGTAACAGACACTTGTGAGGAAGTGCTGTGGCCAAAAAGATTCCCCACCTAGCAGCCAACCTGGTGATTACCTGCTTCAAATTTAGTTCATATGGTCTTCAGATGATAGACATAGTCTATCAATGAATCTCTATAGCTAGCATTCTATAATGCAGATATTCATATGTGAGTTGTAAATCAGCACTCATTGTATATGTAGCTATTCCAAGTTTGATTCAATTTAGGTGGGACATTTCACCATAAATTGATGCCACATCTTCCCCCATTACATCTATCCACTTTATTGTCTTTTTCTATCCTTTGTCACCTTTCCCATTTCTTCCCTACCTTGTTGTCTCAGCATTTTTTTTTATCTCTATAAGTAAGAACTGGGCTAAGTAGATAATGTTTGAGGTTTCTTCAAGATATAAAAATTTATGAATTTGTGAAAGAGCTGCCTCAGAAGATAGCTTTTTTTTATTGCTGCAGATGCTCAAAGAAAAGATGAGTACACACTTAATGGAGATGTTATTGGAGGATATTATTGCATCAGATGGACATTTGGCTAGATGACCTAGACCTGAGAGGCTGCGATTCAACGAAGCTGCAAACAGTGAGACTTGGTCCTGATATAAATAAAAATATCCTGGAGCTGTCCAGAGATGGTCTGACTTGTGAGGTAGTGTATTCACCCTTACAGGAGATCTTAAAGTGGACGATTGCTAACTAATTTTATAAGATGTCATAAAAGGTATTTCTTGTCTCAGTAGAGATTGAATTTAATGACTGCTGAACACTTTTCCAAATCTGAGATGATGTAAGCCTTTGTATAGGAACAGTCAGATTCCTGATCATGGTGCTGAATTTATTCCATGAATATAACATACCACAAATTCCAAATTAACACAACATCTCTTCCTTGAAAGTGTTGCTGTCTTAGTGAGATGGCAATGGAAGCTCTTGTGGAGGCTTTAAAGACCAACATTGCCTCTAGAATCTTGAAAGGAAACCCTACTCTTTTCTGGTTGCCATTTATACAACTGTTTTAAAGTATTTTCTCTAGAGGCTTCAAGAGTACACATTGCTGATAATGAGAGCTTGTGCTAAGATCATTACAATGGGAATAAAGAAGAAAAAGTGGATGGCAGATGTTTTGGACATAAAATCAAAAGCACTTGGAATATGATTGGATGTAGGAAGTGAGAGAATAGAAATACCTAAAGATAATAAAATTTTCAACCTTAAAAGCTGGATTAAAAAAAACCAGATAAATAGTAATTACATGGGTAAGTGGTCATTTTGAATGTCTTCTGAAAGAACTTCAGTGATGGGAAACTTACTGCCTCTCCAAGTATCCCACTTCATTTCTGCATAAATCTGATTGTTGGGGGATTTTTCCCTCATTTTGAGTGAAAACCTGCATCCTTATAACACCATACATTGGTCTTTTTTCTATCTTCTGAAAATATCACTATAGTGAATATGTTGAACAAATCATATTGGAAAATATCTCTCTTGTATGAATTCAAGCTTTTCAGATGCCTGAGTTCTTGGATTTTGCCCTTATTTTAGACCAATGATTACCAAAGTGTGTTCTGCGTATGACTGGGGATCCCCAAGACCCTTTCAGGAAGTCTGTAAAGTCACAAATATTTACATAATAACACCAACATATTACTTGCCTTTCTCATTTCCTCATGATTGCTGAAGACTTTTCCAAAGTATATATGACCAGTGAATTAAAATTTAGCTGCAAATACAAAGACCGGGTTAGCATCTCATCTGCAGAATTGTACTTTTGCCTCACAAATGGATAAATCTGCAGATGTTGCTGGACATGCTGTTTTGCTTATATTCGTTTGGTGTCAACACCAACTAATCATTGAAGAAGAACTTCTTTTATATGAATGCCTGGTAATAAACAAAATTGGTGCTGAAATATGTAAAGTGTCGAATAACTTTTTTGAATCTCATGAGTTATCCTGGAATAAGTACCTTGAAATTTTCCCTGTTGGTGCAAAATTAATTTACAATTCACATTTGCAAAAATGTAAAACAATGCTACCCTTATCCCTAAAATTTTTGTTTGGGAGAATACGCATATTTTTTACTAAAATATGTTATTTAAGTTAACATGTAGTGGGTTTTTGTTGTTGTTCAGTCATTTCAGTCACGTCTGACTCTCCATGACTTTTTTTGAGGTTTTCTTGTCAAAGATACTAAACTGGTTTGCCATTTCCTTCTCCAGCTCATTTTACAGATGAGGAAACTGAGGCAAACAGAATTAAATGACTTATCCAGGGTCACATAGCTAGTAAGTATCTGAGGCTAGATTTGAACTCAGGTATTCCTGACTCAAAGCCTGCATTCTACCCACTTTGCCACCTAGCTGCCTTGTAGTGGGTTTATTACATGTAATTGAATTAATAAATGTTTTAATAAATTTAATATTTAGTAAATAAATTTTAAATATTTATTAATCTTAGTTACTAATACAGTAAATATTAATAGACATGAGCCAAAAGCTTTTTCTGGGAGTCCTCAATGATTTTTAAGAACATAAAGGGGTCCTGAGACCAAAATGTTTGAGAACCATTGCTTTGGTTTAGATCATACTTGCGTTGCTTTGTTTCCCTGGACCGAACACTGAAGCAGTACTGAGATTGACTTCTGTATCTTGGGTTCATCTCCTCCCTCTGGCACCTGCCTAAGTTTTTACCTTGGGACAGTGGATGAAGCTGCCTCAGATGACCTGCTCTCTTCTCTCTCAGTTCTGGAATTGTTCTCACTTCAGGACATGCTTCCCATCCCCGACTTTCCTGCCAGATCATTGTTCCTTTCTCCCATAATTGGGATCCCTTTGCATATAATTAAAATTGATTTTAGTCATAAATTTAAATATTTTATTTATTTTTCTTTTTTTTAAACATTCTTTCCTTTTTAAATTTTGAGTTCCAAATTATCTTACTCCCACAGCCACTGAAAAGGCAAGCAATATTATATATTAGCTATATACATATATATTAGCTATATTGTGTGTGTATACATATATATAATATACTAGCTATACATATAAAATAATGCAAAACACTCCTCATATTAGTCATATTTCTAAAAAATGCAAGAAAAAGAAAGAAAGAAAGAAAATCATACTTCAATTTGTACTCAGTTCATCAGTTCTCTCTCTCTAGAGGCGTGTAGCATTTTTTCATCATGAATCCTTTGGAATTGTCCTATATCGTTCATCAGAGTAGCCAAGTGTTTCACAGCTGATCATCACTGGTTGTACATTTTTTTTAAAAAAATAAAATATCAATAGAACCAACTAAACTAGGTTAGCAGCAATTTGCATTTAAAATAGTAAATTTCAATGTATAAAGTATCATAGTAAATTTTTATTCACTTCCTCAAAGTCCTTATCAGGATTCTTTGTCCATTTATTTATATTCACTTTTCTTTTTGAATGATCATAACTAGCGTGCTCTCAACTTATGGTTCTGCTTTTTTTCACTTGGCATTGTTTCATGAGGGTCTTTCTATAATATTTAATATTCTTTAAAGTTGGTTTAAATTACATTACATTTTATAGCAACAATAATGTACAACAAATTAATTATATCCATACTGCAGGCTTATCTCAATGTTTTTTTCTTGCATTTACATGTAATCATGCTATGAAAAATCTTTGAACCAATGAATTTTTAATGCTTTCATGATATAGTCCAAAAATGGAGTTATTGGGTCAAACGGTGTTTATTTTTAACCTTTTATTATTCAATGTCAGATTTCTGTCCAAAAAGATTTTAGAACTTTGCGATTCCTCCTGCAATGAATGAGTGTAGTATTCACCCTAAACCTATGAGTGTTAGGTTTTGTTTCTTTTGATTACTTCCACCCAATTTCATGAGTGTTATATCTTTAAATATCTTTTTTGTGCCTTTTTTATTTTTAGAAAAATTGAGCATTATTTCAATGCTTAGAATTTGCATTCTTCTTTTGAAAATTGTTCATAGCTTTTGATCATTTATCTATTGTTGATTAAATTACCTCTGTGATTTTAAAAACTCAATTCCTTATATATTTTAAATGCCTTTTTTTCTGTCACAGCTACTATAAATACTTTCTCCAATTCATTTTTTTCTTTTTTCTTTTAATTCATTGTTTTTATTTTATAGATATTTTAACTTCATATAAGCAAGTACATATATTTGGTCCCAATTCATTCCTACTATTTGTTAATTGAAGAAAATTATCTCCCCTTCCAAACTGAAATTAATTCTCTGTTCCATGTTCTTCCATTTTTTGTTATTGTTCTGTGTTTAATGTTTAACTCGCAGAACATTTTTAACTTCAATGAATATTGTTATTCAGAAGAGATTTTTCTTTTCATTCATAATTTCTTAAGTTCTAAGTATGGTTAGAGGAATTTCCTGGGATGTGAGCCCTAGAAAGAAACTAAGACTACCTAATCCAACTTTATTTTATGTATAAGGAAATTGAGTCTAATAAAGTGGGGGTGAATTGTCTAAGATCAACACTCACTGTGGCAAATCTGGAATTTAAACTTGAGTCTTCTGAGTCCAAATCTAGTTCTCTTTCTGTTACAAAAGTGTGAAGAGCCTGCATTTCCATTTTAGGTTCTTACCATTATCTTTTTCTTTGTAGATATACCAGATGCATGGGAGCAGAAAATCAAACATGTGTATCAGAATTCCTCCTCCTGGGACTTTCTGAGAAGCCAGAGAAGCAGCTGCTCATCTTTGGGCTCTTCCTGGGCATATACATGGTCACTGTGGTTGGGAACCTTGTCATCATGCTGGCCATTGGCTCTGACTCCCACCTCCACACCCCAATGTACTTCTTCCTCTCTAATCTGTCCTTTGTTGATCTTTGTATGGTATCCACTACAGTTCCCAAGATGCTGCTGAACATCCTAACACACAGTAAAGTTATCTCCTATGCTGAATGCTTTTCCCAAATGTATTTCTTCATGGTTTTTGCTTTTTTAGACAATTTTCTCCTCACTGTGATGGCCTATGACCGCTTTGTGGCCATCTGTCACCCTCTGCACTATTTCACCATAATGAATCCATGGATTTGTGGCCTCCTGGTTCTGATCTCATGGACTATTAGTCTTCTAAACTCTACTCTCCACACTTCACTGGTGACACGGCTGTCCTTCTGTTCTGAACAGGAGATTCCTCATTTTTTCTGTGATATCAGTCAAGTTACAAAGCTTTCTTGTTCTGATACTCTCATCAATGACATCTTAGTGTATTTTGCAGCTGGTCTGCTCGTTATTCTCCCACTCACAGGGATCCTTTTCTCTTATAGCCAGATATGTTCCTCCTTATTGAGAGTCCCATCTCCTAGGGGGAAATATAAAGCCTTTTCTACCTGTGGGTCTCACCTCTCTGTTGTTTCATTATTCTATGGCACTGGACTTGGAGTATATCTGAGCTCCTCAGCTACCCACTCCTCCTGGAAGACCTCAGTTGCCTCAGTGATGTATTCTGTGGTCACCCCCATGCTGAACCCTTTCATCTACAGCATGAGGAATAAGGATATAAAAGATGCCATGAGGAGAATTATTAGCAAAAGGCCCCTCTCTCATTGATGGGGTCTGGCCCTCTCCCTGGAATGTGTCATTGATATTTAAGGTGAAAAGTCTGGGAAGCAGAAACCTTGAATCCAAACTGTGAAGGTCAAGACAGTCCAAAGATTATAGTTTAGGGTAATGTTTTCCTAGCTGTACAACCTCTTTTACTGTCACTCAGACTGTTTTCCTTCCTGGCATTGATTTATGGATTTTCTATAATGTTGTCTTCTTATTTTCCACAATGTGCTTTGCTATAACTTCCACTTTTTCTAAATAAGCATTAGATGTAGAATTGGAAACATTGGTTTTAATTTCTGGGTCATAATCTATGTACCTTGAGCAAGTCACTTAATGCCTCTGAGTCTCAATTTTTTTCACTTGTTTAATGGGGGTTATGGGAACTGTCCTGTCCACAAGTTCTAATCTATGGATCTAATGAAATAATGTATGGAAAAGCATACTATACACTACAAAGTGCTATACAATTGAAGAAGAAAAAAAGAGGAATAGAGAAGAGACAGTTGGAATCTTAGTCTCTCCACCAAATCAGATGCCCACTCCCCTATATCTTTAATATATGGTCTTCATGTATTATTCTGAGGACAAAAATCATTCACTGGTACCTGATTCATTTTGTTTTTAACTAAGCTGGTCCTTGGACAACAACCATGTCATCTATCCATTCATTTATTCTCAAAGCCCCACCAGTGTGGTTAAAACCTAGCAGAGATTGTGTTCTGATGGCAAAGCCTTCAAGAATCTGGTATAGTCATCTGACATGATGAGGCACTGAAGGAGACTATTTTCATAAACATGAGCATAACATTTTAACCGAGAGGTAGCATTGCCTGGTAGATTGAATAGTAGATTTATCATCAGGAAGATATGGATTCACATCCACTTTCAGACCCTCACTAGCTATGGGATGCTGAGCAAGTCACTTCATGTCTCACAGCCTCTGCTTATTCACTTATAAAAACATAATGATAATTATGATAACAATAATAATAAATAGCTAGCATTTATAAAGTGCTTTAAGGTTTGCAAAGCACTTTATATTCATTATCTCATTTATTATTGTGGAGCTAAAAGCATCTACCTCAGAGTTGATGTGAGGATCTAATGAGATATTTGTAAAGAGCTTTGCAAACTTTAAACCATTATATAATCTATCATCATTATATTACTATCATTATATATACATATATAATACTATAATTATATTACTATCATCATTGTTGTTACTTGCCCCCTTTCCTCCTTAGAATCATGAAGCCATAGAATCTTAGTTCTTAGACATTAGTGGTCATCTAGATCAGCTTCTCATAGATGAAAGTGTCCTTTCTATAATATATAAACTTCTAACTATGTAGCTATGGTAGGCATATGTCTTTGAACAAGATTTGTTTTAAATATAGACTCTACTCTTCACTAGTTAGTGGTCTTGGCCAAGTGCCTTAACCTTTCTTAGCTCCAGTTTCCTCATTTGTAAAACCAAAGAGTTTTACTACGTGATCTCCAAGCATTCTATTAAGTTTAAATCCTATCTGTCCTCTTCCAATGACAAGGAACTCACTACCTCATAAAATAGTGCAGACCACTATTTATGGGCATCTCTCCTTGATATGCTCTCTATGGATACTGGCTACAAGAATTGTTAGCAAGAATTGCAAAGGATTGAAAATCTTGCTTCCAGGGGATATGGAGAATACATAGAAATCTTCAGAGACCTAGATGGTGTACCATGATTCTCTTTCTGCCAAAAACAGATAATTACAATCTGTACTCAAACTGCAGGTTGGTCTGACTCATAGAAAAGAAAGAAAGAGGACTTAAGGATTCCATCTCAGCTCTGTTGGGTATTAAGGAAAGAAACTGCTCTCAAAATGAAAGTGGGGAGTTTCAGTTTTAAAAAGAAGTAAGAAAATGCATGTGATGGAGCAAAGAAACGTTAACATGTGAGGAGGTTGAATGTGTGGGAAAGTACCATGGAGGAAAGAAATAATAACACTTAGAGTTCATTAGTAAATATGTGTCTCTTCTCAAATAAAAAGAAGTTGAACTTTCTAAGAGGAAAATCTACTTCTCCCCCAAAATGTGGGTGTACAGGTGCTCTCAGATGAGAAGTCATTCAGGAAGAGTCAGAAGCTAAAGAGAAAAATGGGTATGCTTAGTCACTTCCTGCTAAGAGAATTCTCTGTTGAGGGCCAATCTTAAGAGTCTGATAAGGGCTTAAGATCCAAGGCAGAGTTTGACCTCTGCCCAGGCTTTTACCTGAAAGGGCTCAATGATTAAGTGGTACGGCTCTCCAATTCCTTCCTGATTAGGAGGTCCCTGAGATATTCCTTCTCACTCTTTGAACCTTAGATTTACATATTCACTCCTCTATGCAGGTGGCACCAAGGCGCCTGGGAAAACCTTGGAAAATACAACCCAATCTAGGAAACCTGATAACGAGGAAATTCATGTTGTCACATCCTCAACAGATGTTCTGGGGAGTATCTCACGGGGAGGACTCTTTGAAGTTAGGCTAGATTTTCTCTATATATCCTGTACCCTCAGATGAATAAACTGAGTCAGTAATTCTGCTCCACCTGGCCCATGTCACAAGTTATTTCACGCCTCTCCATTCGGTGTACAATCTGGTTGTGGGCAACAATTCTCTATGTCACAATCTCTCCCAATACAGAGATTTTCTATTTCCCTGGGGAATAGAACCAGGAAATGAGGGATCACACATAGTTTAGCAGCCACCACCATAAAGAAGTAGAGATCTTGGAATATGATATTCTGAAAGGCAAAGGATATAGGCTCCCAGCCAGGAATGACTTATCTAGCAAAACTGACTATAATCCTCCAGGGCAGAAATGGGTTTTTAATGAAATAAAGGACTTCCAAACATTCCATATGAAAAAGCAAGAGCTGTGTAATAACTTTGGAGTTCAAACACAGGAGTAAAGAGGAACATAGAAATCTAAACCTGAATGAACAATGATAAAGGACTAAGCAAGTATAAACTGCCTACATTCCGGTATTGGGAGATGATACATGTGTCTTCTTCGAACCCTAGGATCATTAGGGGTCGTAGTAAAATTAGAGAGAAGGTCTGGTAGTGGTTTCATTACGTTTTGATGACCTTAAGAGAAGAGTGGGAATGGAGGAGAATAGGAATACACTAGGGGGAGGAAAGAAAAAGGATAATTGGGGAAATTATCTCACATCACCAGAGTGCACAAGTAGAAGTCTTTACTACAGAGAAAGGGATGGAGTTGACACTTGAACCTCACTCTCATTTGAATTCATCAAGGGAGGGAAGAATACATACAGACACACATAGTGTTGGATATAGAAAAACATTTTACTCACCAGGAAAAAGGAAGGAAACAGGTGTAGGAGGATTTAGAGGAAAGGTGGATTAAGAGAGGGATTAACACCAAGCAAAACAAACTCTAAGGATGTACAAAGTATTTATAGCTTTTTGAGGTGGCAAAGTATGGTAATTTGAGAGGATGTCCATCAATTAGGAAATGGCTGAACAAGTTATGGTATGTAAATGTGATAGAACACTATTGTGCTGTAATGAATGATAGAGGGGATGGTTTCAGAGAAATCTTGTTAAGAATTTATAATAACTGATGAAGCAGGAAGTGAAGAGAACTAGGGGAACAATTTATACAATGACAATAAGGTAAAGACATACAGTTTTGAAAGAGTTAGGAACTCAGAGCACTGTAATTACCATGATTCCAAGGATTGATGATGAAACATGGGGCTTGTGTCCTAATCAAGAGGCAAAAGACTCAGAGTACAAAGTGAGACATATTTTTTTAACATGGCCAATGAAGAAATTTGTTTGGCTTGACTATACCTGTGTGGAACGGAGGTTTTGTTTTTCTTTGATGTTTAATTGTATGGGGGGTATGATGAAAGAGAGAAGATAGAGTCTTAGTGATAAAAAAAAATAACTTTTAAAAAATAGAATTAATGGTGCTATGGTGACTGATTTTGTTTAAATAAGAAGCATATCACTGGGGGTTCAGGATTAGGAAGTGCTAAAGATCAGGAAGGCATTCTCTGCATATCAGAGTTATCCTTAGGTCTCCGAAGGGAAGCATAGTGATTTTTAGCCACATGGCTGTGGTCATGGCTGACCACATACTTTCTGGGGTGGGGGAGAAACAGATCTTCTGATGTGAAGGCAGGTTGGAGAAAGTAAGTAAGCCTGAGAGAAAAAAGAGGAGTACAGATGCCATGTTGTATGCCATGCCTGAAGACTACACTGTCAATGGGAGAAGGACAGTCTCATGCATATGTTGTCTGGACACAGTCTCACATGCATTCTAGTTTGGGGGAAGAAAATTTGAGGTGTTTTATATCAGGAGGAAAATGGGAGTTATATAAAGAAAGTGATGTGAATATACAAAGAATTCACCAACAAACTTGGCCAAGGTTCTTGAAGGCTCAGACTTAGTTTACTTATAAGGCTGCACCTCCAGCTTGTGCTGTTCATGAAATCTGTCTTTAGCCGGATTCTAAGAACACATTGCCTGGGAATTCTCACCCTTTCTACTAACTAGAGAGTCATGGTTCAGAAACTCCTTTCTCAGGTCAAGTAGGTTAAAATGTATCTCTACAAAGTCTTCAATTAAAATTCATTTTGGGGGCAGTTAGGTGGCTCAGTGGATAGAGCACTGGCCCTGAAGTCAGGAGGACCTGAGTTCAAATCCAGCCTCAGACCAAACACTTGACACTAGCTGTGTGACCCTGGGCAAGTCACTTAACCCCAATTGCCTAAAAGCAAAAAAAAAAAAATTCATTTTTATAAGCCAGCAAAAGGATAGCTCTTCTGATAAGAATCCATTCCAAATCAAAGATTATAAATGCAACTTTGTGGAAGCCTCAGCTACTGAGATTGTGGGGATATACATGTTCATCAAATTCCAATAAAGATTCATTGCCTTGTAATTCATCATGTTGATCAGGGAACTCCCTTTATCAAACACTCATACATCGGCCTGAGAGACTGTCAAATGCTTTGTTGAAGTTGAAATACACAAATTCTCAATGGAGTCAGAAGAGTTCAGTGGGTAGTTATCCATAATCTTGCTGGATGTGTGCGTGTGTGTGATCCTATTCTTTGTCTTTTTCTTTATCACTTATCCATTTCAATTTTTATAATTAGACAGCTTAGTTGCATAGTGGCCAGAGCCCTAGATTTGGATTTAGAAAGACGGGAGTTTAAATCCAGCCTCAGACACTTACTGCATGGTCCTGTGCAAGTCACTTCTTTCAGCCTCAATTTCTTCTTCTATAAAATGGTAATAATTGTGGCATATGAATAAAAGGTTTTGTGAGGATCAAATGGGATAATATATGCAAAGACCCTCACAAACAATAAAACATTGTATAAGTGCTAATAATTATAGTTGTTCCTGTTGTTGTTATTTAATTGTTGGGAGAAAACACAATCATTATAACCCCAAATATAAACTGATTAAATTCCGTAATAAAAGGAAAATTACTAGAGGGATAGGTAAGGAAACAAAACACAATAATTTGCTGCATAAATGAAATGCATTTAAGGCATAAAGACACAAACCAAGTAAAAATGAAGGGATTTAATAAAACTATTATATATCAAGTGACTCTAAATAAAATAAGAGTCACAGCCATGATCTCAGATAAAACAACAATAAAAACTGACAAGGACAAGAGAGATGAACAAGAAAGCTACATTATGCTTAAAAGCTCAATTATGGGGCAGCTAGGCAGCACAGTGGATAGAGCATCGGCCCTGAAGTCAGGAGGACCTGAATTCAAATCTGGCCTCAGACCAAACACTTGACAATTAGCTGTGTGACCCTGGGCAAGTCAGTTAACCCCAACTGCCTAAAAGGAATTTTTAAAAAAGCTCCAATTATCATTTCCATGTGAATGACTCCAGTTCTGTTCTTTCTCCTGAGCTGCAGACCCATGTCTTCCAACCATCTTTTGGACACTTCAGACTGGAAGTCTCATAGATATTATGAACTCTACATATCCAAAATAGAATTGATTAGGCCATCTTTCTCTCTAAACCCATCATCTTTCTGAATTTACCTATTTTTATTGAAAACATCACCATTCCTACAGCTGCAGAGATTCACAACCACAGCACCATCCTACACCCCTCACTCTCCTCCTACATAGTCACTTGTCTGCCGGTTCTGGCCAATTCTACCTCCACAACATCTCTTGCATTCATTCCTTTCTTACTCCTTATGTAGCCACCACCTTATTTCCAGCTTTATCATCTCTCACCATTGGTCTCCTAACATATATCCTTGTCTCAAGTTTCTTCTTCCTCCAATCCATCCTATACCTAGTTGTTAAATTGATTTTTCCTTAGTTATAGATCTGATCAAATCACTCTCACAATCACTAAACTCCACTGGTTCCCTCTTGATCCTAAGATAAAGATTTAAGCTCCTACATTTAGATTTTAAATCCCTCAAGCCCTTGGACTCTAATTTATCGTTTTAGCCTAATTATACATTACTCCAATTCCCATGGGATGTTGTAGCCAAACTGGTTTTCTTGCTGTTCCTCAGATATAGTACTTTCTCATGCCTGGAATGCACTCCCTCCTTGCCTCCAACTCACAGAATCCCTTACTTCTAGAAATATGAGCTCATGCACCATTTTCTGAATAAAGCCTTTCCTGATTCCCCCCAAACTTCTTGATTGCCCTCTTTACTTCTACTGCACTCTCTCTCTCTAAACTACCTTGAAATTATTGCATATTTTCTCAGATATGTACATATTCCCTGGTAACAGAAGCTCCTTAAGAGCTAGAACTGATACAAATTGTCTTCGTATATCAGCATAGTGCCTAGGATATAGTAGATGTTTAATAATATCATATGATTGGTTATATTGATGAAACAAGGCTCATGAGCCCAGCTCTCTGCTTCTCTCTGGCTCCTTGCATTGAGAAGAACCAGATCCCTATCTCCATGTTTACCCCATTCAGATATAAGGTTAGAGAATATTTCTGTATCTGTAGCTATAGGACTTTTGGAAACTAAGGAGGACTGGTTTCCTTTTGCTGTCTAGTATTTTGACTAGGTAGGGATGTGAAGTTCAGATAACATTAGGACTTGATTCTATTAGAAGAAAGGGCCCTTACTACTAAGACCTAAGGAGAATAAACAGGAAAGTCTGCTCTGATCTCAAGAACTCAAATGAGTAGGGATGATGCATCAATAATATAATTAGGCAGATAATTGGCAGAACAGACTGCTTTCACAGACTGAAGAACAATAAATGACCTCAGAAGAAATCTCATCCAATTAGTACCTAAGTAGGAATCTCTTCAAAAATGATAGTACTTAAAGCTAGGAAGGTAAATAAAAGACCACAGCAGCTATCCATCTAATTTTGGAGACAAGGAAATGAGGTCCAGAACACATAAGTGAGTTGTTCAAGATCAGTAAGTAGCAGAACCAGGATAACAACCCAGGTCCTCTGACTCCAAATGCAGGTATCTTTCTACTATAAGGAATATTCATTGACTTTAAGCTTAAAGATATAAGTAGTGAAAAATTCAATGTCTCTAATGAGATATCCCATTTAATGATTTATTGGAAGGGATTTCAGCTATCAACCACCATCATGAGGAAGGAATCCACTGATACTATCCCTGTCACATGTTCATTCATTCTCTTAAGGCATTTACAGTAAAGAGTGATTCATTAATTTACAATGAAGCCAATTTATAGATTCATAGGTAGTTGGAACCAGAAGGGACCTTATTATTCATCTAGTTCAAACCCTTTTCAAATCATTAACACTCTCTACAATAATCAACATAATCAGTCCCCTAATATTTTCTAGAAGATCATCAGTGTTGGGTAGCTTACTGCCCCATAAGACAGCCAATTCCATTGTTGTATAGTTCTCATTGTTAGGAAGATTTCTGCCAGGGTTCTCTGTTGTCCTATGGGGAATTGAGATGCTCCAGGAATGGAAAGACAGTTGTATGGTTTGTCTAATGAGGAGCCATGGGGATGAGTCTCTATAACTCTAGAAATCATAAATATTCCCCTACCTGCCACTGTCCCCAGGGAAGCCATATGTTCCAGGACAGGAAGTAGTCTATTTGTACCTCACTAAGATATCACCCCTCATGCCTGAGGCCATCTCTTCTCCTGGGGGGAGAGAAAGCTAGTGTTTTTCTTCCTGACAACAATCCAGGGCAGAAATAAGATCAGTCAAACGTTGCTTCTTGGTGATGACCAGTAAGTACTATGAAAGAAAGGGAAATCATGTGAATGTGAAAGGAGGGAAGGCAAGGTCAGGAGGTAACCCTTTCTTCCTCAGAAATCCAGGAAGATCATGGCAAGCCCAATAAAATCCAAATCAGAGTTCAATCTAATCCAGAGTCTGGTCCAATCCAATCCACCCTTGAGTCTAGCTGAAAGTCCAGAGTTCACCATGACCCAAAATTGGGAGAGCAGTTGGAAAGAGTCCTAGACTCAGAGCAAAGAAAACTCACTTCAGGCCCCAGTCCTACTACTGACTACCTGTAGGATCTTGGGCAATTTAATTTTCTTCTTGCACTAACACCATAAAATAGGGTAGCATCTGCCCTATGTATTTCACAGGTTTTATTGGAATTAAATATTTATATGTTTGCAGAAGTATATGGTAACCTTAAATCATTTTTTAAAATTAGCTGTTACTGTCATTACAATAGGAGGGATCAGAGTCCAGTATAGATCCGTACTCTTAAGTAAATCTATCTCAGAGTCCAAGAAGACTCTGACCAAGAGCACATAAAGAATTCTCCATTATGATGCCTAAGAATAACAGAAGGATTCATGTCCTGTTCCCAAAGGCAGAAACCAGGACCGTGGTTAGTATGGTTATCACATGGCTTATCACGCAAGCATTCTGACTCTATGAAGCTGAGAGAGGTCAAGTAGGCTAAGCTTTGCACTACCTAGAGAGGTGCACTACACACAGGGCTAAAGGAAAGATGAGTCAAAGAAAGATTTTATCCCCTATAAAAGTTAATGAGGTGGCTGTCTCTTTCTTACAAGCAAAGGGAGGACAAGAAGATAGGAGATTGAGGAGGATTGGAATTTCTAGGTACACCACCAAGGAGAAAGTTGTGAGAATGGATCAGACACAAACTATTATTATACACGGGCTGGGGAAGGACTGAGAAATTGGATTTTTGTACAAATGTTGGGAGTGAGCAGGAATTCTCAGGGGCCCTGCAAAGAGAAGTAAAAATCACTTTTCTTATGAATGTTACCATTAGACCTCCTGGTTCCAGTGTGTTGCAACAGATTGAACTGGAAGAACTGAATGTTAGTCCTAGCTTTGTCACTGACTATTTGTGTGACTTTGGACAAGTCACTTTTCTTCCTCACCTGATCTCAGTGTCATTACTTGTAAAATCATTTTGTTGGAGTAAGGTAGGCTAGACTCTATGTTTTGAGACTGCATCCATTTTGTCATTTTATGTTCTAAGGCTTTCCATGCTCTGATAATCTATGTGTAAGGCATTCAGGTAGCCCTGCCTTAAGTCCTGGAATGAGTGTGAGGCTTATTCTGCTCTTCACTATAGTACAGAATTCAACTGCAGACAAACTTCTTTATGGGTTCCTTAAAGAAGGATGAATCTGTAGAGGATTTTTGGTAGCTTCCTGTCTTTGCCCCTCATAAAACTAAAAATATTTATTAAGCACTTTGTGCCAGGCACAGTCATCTGTGTCACCTTGGACATGTCACTTCTGGGTATCAATTTATTCAGCTATATAGAGGGGTAAGCTAGATGATTTTAAGACACTTTCCAAATCTAAATACATGGTCCTATTATCTTATAAGCCTATCTTGAAAGTTTATCCAGCGTGAGGCCAACATCAGCATCCCTGACTCCATGGAAACTTGAATTTGAGATCTAGAAAGAAGATACATTGCCTGTACCCTTAGTCCTATCTTTGGCCTCATCTCCCCAAAGATAATATTCTCTCCCACACCTTCTGATCTTTTCCATTTCCTTATTTTTTTCTTACTCTTTGATTCCAACTGGACTACTTTTTGTTCCTTGAACTCAAGCTATAAGCACCACCAAAGTTTTTGCCTATTGTTCCAAGCTATAAGCATATGAATTCCTTGTGCACTCTAGTACCTAACAGGTTCAGGATTTTATCAGTGAGGGTATGTCTTCTATGGACATAATGGTAACCCTTCTAGGAGTGGTAGACACTTGTGAAGAACTTCTGTGGCCAAAAAGATCCCTACCCAGTGGCCAACCCAGTGATGATCTGCTTTGAATTTAACTAACTGGTCATTGTATAATAGACAATGGCTCTCTACAGATAACATCCTATAATAAAGACATTCATATATTACTTATGAACCAGTATTGCATTGTATAAGTAACTATCTCAGGTTTGA